GGGGGGTTGGAGCCATTGGAAGGGGGATTTGGGGGGTTGGAGCCATTGGAAGGGGGATTTGGGGGCGTTGGAGCCGTTGGAAGGGGGATTTGTGGGGCTGGCCCGGGAGCTCGTGGCTGTGGGGTCACTCATGCTCTGTGTCAGGGTCTGGGTCCTCATGACCACGGGGATCCCCCTGTGACCCCTCTGACCCCACTGTGACCCCCCCCCGCCCCCCATGTGTCCCCCCCCAGGACATGGCCGGGCTGCTGACCCCATGGTCACTGGTGGGGCTGAGGGTGTGACACTGAGGGTCCCTGTGACTCCTGTGACCTCTCTGGCTCCCCTGTCACCCCTGTGACCCCCCCGTGACCCCCCGTGTGTCCCCCCCCAGGACACAGCGGGGCTACTGACCCCGGGAGGGGGCGGGATGAACTGAGGTGGGGTGTGACACTGAGGGTCTCTGTGACCCCTCTGACCCCCATGACCCCTGTGACCCCCCCGTGACCCCCCATGTGTCCCCCCCAGGACATGGCGGGGCTGCTGACCCCCGAGGCCGCGCGGCTGCTGGTGGGGGCCCTGCGGGAGCAGCACCCCGAGGTGCCCCTGCACGTGCACACCCACGACACGGCGGGCGCCGGCGTCGCCTCCATGCTGGCGGCCGCCCAGGCCGGCGCCGACGCGGTGGACGTGGCCGTGGACGCCATGTCCGGCATGACCTCCCAGCCCAGCATGGGAGCCCTGGTGGCCTGCACCCGAGGGACCCCCCTGGACACCGGTACGGACACGGGGGGGACGGGGGGACACGGGGGTGGGGGGGGACACCAAGGGTTGGAGGGGGCAACTTGGTCATAGACGTGGCAATGGGGGGTTGGAGGGGCCACCAAGGGTTGGAGGGGACACCAAAGGTTGGAGGGGCCACCGAGGGGTTGGAGGGGACACTGAGGGGTTGGAGGGGGCACCAAAGGTGGAGGGGACACTGAGGGGTTGGAGGGGACACCAGAAGCCTTGTGATGCCACCGTGGTCATGGTGATAAACCCATGGTCTTGGGGGTGCCACCATGGCCCTCATAGTGCCACCATGGCCATGAAGGTGTCACT